AGTAGTAAACGCAACGTCCAGTTCCTAAATGGTTTTCACGGGATGAATAATACCTAATTTATGATGATTTCTAAAATACGTCATATAGGGGGAAAAGGCAATAGTGCTACCATTACACTGACAGTTAACAGGTTAAGGCAGAGATTTGCCTGAGCTTGATTCCCGTGATTAACAGCTGATTCAGCCGTTGACCTGTGCTGTGCACAGCTGTGGCCTGAGCCCAGCCAATCAGAGCTAAAGTGGACCATGTGTTCAGGGTCAAGACAGACCGGGCCCAGCAGCTGAGAGGACACCAGCTACCTTCAGCGTGAGAGCCAGCCAGCGCTGTGACCTTAATAAATGCTCTATAACAGGTAATGCCTAGCTTATAATAGTCAATTTATAATCTTGCTGAACAAATCTTTTGCTTTTCTTCATTATAAATTACGGTTTTGCTTTCTGTATGTAAATGAGGAGAATTTTGGAAAGAAGATTTGGCAAATGGATTAGTCCTGTTTTGTTATTGTGTATGCACAGATGTGATTCATAATGTGCATAAGAGGGGGTGTGAGTGGAGCATGAGTGTGTTTCTGTGTTCAGGAACCAACTGACTGGCAGAATGTCAAAAACATAACAGCAGCATTAAGTAATATTTGCACACAAACTGATCCATGCCTTCTTCTTCTTCTTGAGTAGTACATTTGCCAATATTTCAGCTGCTTATGTGTATGTGAAGGACAGACTGCATGGTTGCAGATATTACAGTCTCTCCCATCTCCCATTGGATGGACACACTTTCCTTTCCTGTACTGTTTAACACTACATCTCTTCTCTGTGAACTTTAATAAAAACTGTATTCCCCTGATCTGTACGTCTGGACTCCAAATAATGAAACATATCGATCTGCGAATTGCATCTCGCTCAATAGTCACACTGCAGCTGGAAGGGAATCAAGCCAGACGTGGTCCAATTCAGGTGGAGAGACAGAGAGAGAGAGCACCATCTAGTGGTTATAACACAAACACTCATGGCAAATGATAGCTTGCTGGACTAAAAATAAGTACAGAAGTGCACATTTGAGCCTTTAAAAGAGACCGTGAAGAAAGTTAAGATTAGATAGATAGATGGATGGATGGATGGATTGACGGACGGACGGACGGACGGACGGACGGACGGACAGACAGACAGACAGACAGACAGACAGACAGACAGACAGACAGATAGATAGATAGATAGATAGATAGATAGATAGATAGATAGATAGATAGATAGATAGATAGCAGTTTGAGATGATTTGAGGTTTGTGACATGGAGTGTTATCCAGCTGGAAGTAGCCATCAGAAGATGGGTCCACTGTGGTCATAAAGGGATGGGTCCACTGTGGTCATTCACACGGACTCACCAATATTGGACAATATTGGAAATAGCTGAAAAAACATAGCCGGGTCTGATGGCTATGTTACACCACCAGCAGCCTGAACCATTGACACAAGGCAGGATGGATCCATGCTTTCATGTTTTTACGCCAAAATCTGACCCTACCATCTGAAATTCGCAGCAGAAGTATACTCACCAGACCCGGCTATGTTTTTTCAGTCTTCTATTGTCCAATATTGGTGAGTCCGTATGAATTGTAGCCTCAGTTTCCTGTTCTTATCTGACAGGTTTGGCACCCGATGTGATTTTCTTCAGCTGCTGTAGTCCTTTTGCTTCAAGGGTCGATGTGTTGTGGGTTCAGAAATGCTCTTCTGCAGACATTGGTTGTAACAAGTGTTTATTTGAGTTACTGTTGCTTCTCTATCAGCTCGAACCAGTCTGGTCATTCTCCTCTGACCTCTGGCATCAACAAGGCATTTTCGACCACAGAACTGCCACTCACTGGATATTTTCTCTTTTTCGGCCCATTCTCTGTAAACCCAAGAGATGGTTTTGTGTGAAAAGATCAGTTTCTGAAATACTCAGACCAGCCTGTCTGGCCACGTTCAAATTCCCTTAAATCACTATTCTTCCTCATTATGATGCTCAGCTTGAACTTCAGCAGATCGTCTTGACCATGTCCACATGCCTAAATGCAGTGAGTTGCTGCCATGTGATTGGCTGATTAGATGTTTGCGTTAACGGGAGTTGAACAGGTGTACGTAATAAAGTGGCCGATGAGTGTGTAGCCTATATATATATATATATATATATATATATATACACTCACCGGCCACTTTATTAGGTACCCCATGCTAGTAACGGGTTGGACCCCCTTTTGCCTTCAGAACTGCCTCAATTCTTCGTGGCATAGATTCAACAAGGTGCTGGAAGCATTCCTCAGGGAGTTTGGTCCATATTGACATGATGGCATCACACAGTTGCCGCAGATTTGTCGGCTGCACATCCATGATGCGAATCTCCCGTTCCACCACATCCCAAAGATGCTCTATTGGGTTGAGATCTGGTGACTGTGGAGGCCATTTTAGTACAGTGAACTCATTGTCATGTTCAAGAAACCAATTTGAAATGATTAGAGCTTTGTGACATGGTGGAAGTAGCCATCAGAGGATGGGTACATGGTGGCCATAAAGGGATGGACATGGTCAGAAACAATGCTCAGGTAGGCCGTGGCATTTAAACGATGCCCAATTGGCACTAAGGGGCCTAAAGTGTGCCAGGAAAACATCCCCCACACCATTACACCACCACCACCAGCCTGCACAGTGGTAACAAGGCATGATGGTTCCATGTTCTCATTCTGTTTACGCCAAATTCTGACTCTAACATCTGAATGTCTCAACAGAAATCGAGACTCATCAGACCAGGCAACATTTTTCCAGTCTTCAACTGTTCAATTTTGGTGAGCTCTTGCAAATTGTAGCCTCTTTTTCCTATTTGTAGTGGAGATGAGTGGTACCCGGTGGAGTCTTCTGCTGTTGTAGCCCATCCGCCTCAAGGTTGTGCGTGTTGTGGCTTCACAAATGCTTTGCTGCATACCTCGGTTGTAACGAGTGGTTATTTCAGTCACTGTTGCCCTTCTATCAGCTCGAATCAGTCTGGCCATTCTCCTCTGACCTCTGGCATCAACAAGGCATTTCCGCCCACAGAACTGCCGCTCACTGGATGTTTTTTCTTTTTCGGACCATTCTCTGTAAACCCTAGAGATGGTTGTGCGTGAAAATCCCAGTAGATTAGCAGTTTCTGAAATACTCAGACCAGCCCTTCTGGCACCAACAATCATGCCACGTTCAAAGTCACTCAAATCACCTTTCTTCCCCATACTGATGCTCGGTTTGAACTGCAGGAGATTGTCTTGACCATGTCTACATGCCTAAATGCACTGAGTTGCCGCCATGTGATTGGCTGCTTAGAAATTAAGTGTTAACGAGCAGTTGGACCGGTGTACCTAATAAAGTGGCCGGTGAGTGTATATATATATACATGGTAATGAACATTATGCCACAAATGCTGTTGATTAAGCTTAATTTGTATTCAATATTCCTTTAATACTGATGTTCCTTTCCAAAAATGGGTGTGATTTTGGCAGGTTTCACTTTGATTTGCTTTTAAGAATTATACAGAATTTTACTTTGCTGATAAAAATATTGTATGGAAATATAGCCTACCTTTATAGATATACATCATATGTGATTATTGAAAAGATGGAAAGAAAAGTGAAAGACAGGATAAGGAGGAGTATGGTGTGTGGGTGTACTCACGCGAACTCACATGTGTGTCTGAATGCGAGCACTCTTTTGTGCTGTCTGAATATTTGTTCTCTCTCGTGTCTAGAGCGAGTGCTCTCATGGCCCTCAGTGGATAACAGACTGTTGTCGTGAATGAGCTGTGTAGCTGCCTCTGCTTGTGTAGCAAACTGCCTCATGGCCTTGCACTCTTTTACAACAGTCTACTTTTGTTCTAGTTCCTCTTCAGCCCCTCCCTCCTCTGCACAGATGCAGTGCCCACACACTCTTGGTCCCTGAGAGCTTGAAAAGAAAAAGTACTTCTTTTGATGCACAAGTTTTAATTGTACCCTGAAACTCATGTGTTCAAGTTTTATGCCAGACAGTTCTGTGAATGAGAGTGCTGTCACTTAAGCAGAGATTATTTAAATGTAGGAGGGATCACATAGTAACATCCGATCAAGATGTGACTAAAATGTTTTATTTAGTAATTAAATATTGCAATTTTGAATATTGCAAAAGTCACTGGCAACTTTCAAAAAGTCACAAACAACATTGGACCCCACTGATATTTATTATATGGACAAGAATTGACAAAGTCAATTGGTAAATAATAATAATAAAAAGTCGAATTTTATAATTATGATAAAAGTCAAAATCTCATAATTTTGACATTTTATCTCATTGTGACTTTTTTATATCACATTGATGACTTTTTAATCTCATAGTTCTGATTTATCTCAATTTCAGCTATCATAATTATGAGATACAAGGTCAAAATTATGACTGTCGTAATTATGAGATAAAAATATGAAGCTATGACATACTAACTCATAATTATGACAACATTTATAATTATGAAAAAAGTCAAAATCTCATAATTTTTACATGTTATCTCATTGTGACTTTTTATATCATATTGATGACTTTTTAATCTCATAATTCTGATTTATCTCAATTTCAACTATCATAATTATGAGATACAAGGTCAAAATGATGACAGTCATAATAATGAGATAGAAATATGAAGCTATGACATACTAACTCATAATTATGACCTAATCCATCCACTTTTTAGCTAATAATGTTGACAGTCTCATAATTTTGACTTTTTTATTTCATAATTATGACGTTCAAGTCATAATTTGAGATTTATATGTCATAATCATGATTTAGTATCTCATAATGTTTTTATGTAATTATTTGGATTTATCAAAGCATGTTTTTTTCGAGGCTTCCATGTAAGGGTGAGTATATAGTTTTGTTTGTATTTTGGCGTAAACTATGGTTACTACTAGCAACAGACTCTTATCTGCAATCAGAGCAATGACATTTCAGCAACGTCGTCGTCTGCTGATGACGTGCGCGGGGTTTTCCGGGTGCGACGGCTTTGCTTGAGATGTTAGGCTAGCAGGCTAACCGAGAGTAACGCCAAAGCACAGATACTACAGCGCTGTTAACGAACGTCAAGGGACAGCGGGCGGGAAGCTAACATGAAAGGGGTAAACGATTCATTTTACTAGTAGTGGTTTTGAAAGTGAAGTCGCCGTGGTCAACATAGTTTGATATAGCTAAAAAAGAAGATGTCAACAACGCGGCCCCTCCTCGGGATGAAGCGAATCACCGAGGTAACCTGTACGGAGCCGCCGAGAGGCAGGCAGTCCCCGACCACCAGCAGAACGCAGGCAGAGCCGCTCACCGTAGACGAGTTCACGGTGCATGAAGACAAGCAGGCAGAGCTCCGATGCTGCAAACCGAAGGTCGAACAGGTTTTCCAAGTGACGTTCACGATTATTGGGCTCTTGGATCACACTGGAGCCCACGGAAGTAAGGCTTCCAGACAGATCTGGCTCCAGCTGAAGGGGAAAAAGGAAGATGTGTTTAAAGCGAAGGTAAATGAATTGAAGTTGTTTATAGTAAACAATGTTGCTACTTGACTTTAGTTTTATATATATATATATATATATATATATTTTTTTTTTTTTTTTGACTGTCAGAAGGGAAGTCGATGACATTAAACTTTTTGAGGCAAAGTTGCAACGTAATATCTGGAGGAAGCTGATGTCAGACTGAACTCAGCTACGTCTGACAACATGTTTGTCTTTATTTGACATAGTTTCCCATGTGTCCCATAGTATCTCTTGTGTGACCCCTTAAAAATCATTTGATCAGACTTTTATTTAACCTTCTAAAATAATGTTCATTTTCAGACAACTTGGCATTTAAATAAAGTTATACAACAGTTCAAAGAGGACTGATATTTAGTCGTCAGTCTATTTAGTCATAGACCGATCCTTTTAGTCTTTACATTGCTTGGTGAGACGCAAGGCTTGATGCTTTGGCTTTACTGGACCTATTATCTTTTGCGGAAATGATAAACAGCGACTAGTTGGACAGTTTTGGTCAGAAACATAAGTTTATCGTTATTATTTACTTCACTAAAGATCTGGTGTAGAAAAGTAAAATCACATTCACAGTCATGATGTAGCATTGATTGAACATGAGCAAGGCTGTGATTCATACCTGTGAATCACACTGGTCAAATCCCAGGCCAGCTGTGCTGATATTCAGTATAACAGCACAATTGTAAGGGATATTGCTTGAATAACCATCACAGTTGAACTTTATTAAATAGGCTAACTTGGGAATAACTGTTGCCAAACCACACAGATCCAACATAGCCAATGGGATCAGTGTATTTCATAATGTCTCAGCAGAAAGAAACACATTATAAGCTTTCACACACTTTTATAGATGATCCAAACCTGTACATTTTCACACAGATGTTTCTCGTTAATGTGGTGTCGAAAAAATTAGTTTCCAAGACAGCAACAAAAGACGTGGTTTTTCACTGAACACATGTGGTGTCATCACCTAGTTCCGACATGCCATTGTTTGCAATTCTAGTCCGATCTAATAAGGAAATATAACCACCATTGCCAGTAAACCTGGAATATCCTTATTGTTAAGCCATGAAACGGAAACCACTCATTGGATGTGTTTCGCCACCATGTGCACTTCCTCTTTGTCTAAATATTTGTATTTATTTGTAATACTTTTTCACAGGTGTAAATATAATAACTCCAACCACAAAACTAAAATCACATTCACATGCAAAAAGCTCTTGTCTCCACATCTCATTGACTTTTTTATTTTTTATTATCTCTTCCCGTTTGAATTACAATAACCTTGTATGTTTCTCATCCAAACTGTGTCGTGAATTTTCTCATGGGTCTTTGACAGAGATCTGTTTGCTTAGTCAGGACAAGATGGGAGGCCCCCAGTGTATTTCACTTTCGGTTTTAGTTACTACTGTGTAGTGGCTTTTAACCTAGTGTCATTACTGGTACTGTATACGAGTATTTCTTTTACCGTAACTTGCTCGCTCAGATCAAAGAAACAAAAAGTTCACCAGAGATGTGGCAGAAAGGTCCACCCCAAGGGGTTCCTGTGTTGTTGTTGTTTTTTTCAACTGATCTTTAACTGGTAGCTATTTGCCACATAGGCAAGATAGCTTCCTCAAAGCCACACAATCATGTCAATATGACGACTATGAAGTTAAGAAACACCAAAGAAGCCCAGACAGTTATACTCATTCTTTTTAACCGCTTTAGTGCATTTTAGAATATATTACTTTCAAGGCTGCACGATTTGGGGAAAAATCTAATTGCATTTTTTTTCTGATGAAAATTGCATTTATGATTTGAAATATAATTTATTTGTTTTTTTTAAGAGCTCCAGGTTTTCTGTGCTTGTTTGTAGGGCTCCAAAATTTGGCCAATATTTTTGTGATTATATCAATATGATTATTTATTATATTATATTATAAGTAATAATAATAATAAAAATCAATATATGAAAAATTACTATAATATACTGTAAAATAAAAAACAGTATTTTATGAAAAATAATATACAACTGTAAAATGATTCGAATGACACTGCTATTTGTGTCTTAATCTCTAATTTTCTAACGTTAAACCATTGAGCTTTTATTGGTGGAAAACCACAGGCTTAAAGCTTCTCGTGTGTTGGCAATGGCATGCAACAGGTTTATAAGCTCATCTCATTAAAAACATGGTGAATTAATTGGCAGGTATTGTGTTTTCAAATGCACATTGTATGCAGTATCACAGCACTTGAGAGATGGAGACCACGTGAAGCAGCATTTACTGAGATCTGAGACACTGAAAACACTGTTATTGAGCAGTGTCATGCTTCTCTCTGAAACACAGCATGCATATATTTATATAAATCGCAGCCTTTAAAATTTGATAATGGCTCTAAGCGTTCAGCCAGAAGTACTTTATACTAATACGTATACTAATATTTTAGCATATACAGTACATTAACTTATGCTCAGTGTTGGCACATTGTGAAATGTATAACACAGAGTAGCTCTGTGTTTTAGCCAGTAACAGTCTACATTTGGGTGTAGTCTCATACTTGCATATGTACTTTTATCGATATGATAATGAGCATGTGGAATCTCCCTAGAATGATGATGTAGCTCTTGGTCATTTGGTCCCTCCAGGCAAATCATACATGCATGCTAGTTTAAAGTAAAGAAGCCAGTTTGACTTGTTTTGCTTGTGACAATATTAAAGGGGTTAGTTCACCCCAAAATGAAAATTCGTTCATTAAATACTCGCTGTCATGTCGTTCCAAACCCGTAAGACCTTCGTTCATCTTTGGAACACAAATGAAGATGTTTTTGATGAAATCCAAGAGCTTTCTGATCCCCTCCATAAACAGCAACGCAACGACCACTTTCAAGGCTCAGAAAGGTAAAGACTTTGTTAAAATCGTCCATGTGCAGTGGCTCAACCTTAAGTTTATGAAGCGACGAGAATACTTTTTGTGTGCAAAAACAAAAATAACGAGTTTATTCAACAATTTTTTCTCTTCCCTGTCATTCTCCTACTCTAAAACATCGTCTAAAATGTAAACAGCTTTGGAGAATGACAGGGAAGTTGATGAATAAAGTCGTTATTATGGAGGGGTCAGAAAGCTCTCGGATTTCATCAAAAATATCCGAAGATGAACGAAGGTCTTACGGGTTTGGAACGACATGAGGGTGAGTAATTAATGACAGAAATTTCATTTTTGGGGCGAACTATCCCTATCATTCTAAAGCATTATGCTTGTAGAAGTGAAGTTGTCTATCTTTTGCAATTTATCTGTTGTAATCCTGTTCTGCTGTGCTTGTTTTTCAGGAGTATGTGAAAGGCCTGTGTGACCCAGAACTTCGAAAAGAAGAATGGTACCCAGTGGACATGCACTGCATTTTCGCTGGTGCTCGTGGACTCTTTTTGGACAGGCTGCTTAGAGACACAAGTGCAGAGGTACAAGTTCTGGAGCCGGGCCGCCTGAGGTTAAGTGGGTGCGCGGAGGCCGTCGTCATGGCTCAAAGTCGCGTTCAACAGTTTGTTGCCCTCTTTCAGGAGAAGCGAAGCTTGCCAGCTGACAGGGAGCCCTTGGTTAAGCGCACTTTTAAGACTTTCGTGGAGGACCGGGCTGATAAATATGCGATGGAGCTGCTGTTGCTGCCCAGTGCCCTCAAAGAGGAACTTTTGGGCTTGGCCCAAAGCCCCACACAACCTATAGTTATCATAGACATTGAGCAGGACCGCTCTCAGACCAGCACACCCGTAACTGACCTCTCCAACCGTATCCTGGACACCACTTTTGAGGACAAAACCTCAGGTCCTGTGACCACTCCTGACATTATGCCCGGTTTCAACGGTCGTTGCAACAAGCGGCGGTCCTCTGAAAGCGAGCAGAGGGACACTAAACGGCAATATTCGCTGGAGAGGAGAGAAGAAGAGCAGAGGGAAGAACAGCAGCTTCCGGCTGTTACGTCTGCGAAGGGGACACTAGCTGCTAGTGAAGTGACCAATGAAAATGAGGCTGTGAGTCCTGAGACTAACTTACGCTGTCTTGTTAACTTCTTCCGAACCATGGGCTACCAGCAGGAGGTGGTGGAGCGGGTGGTACGAGAGACGGGGCAGACAGAGGATACGTTTTTACTGCTGGAACGAATTGTGGGGGAGACCCAGAAGACCCAGAGCACGCAAGGAGCCCAGAGCACCTCTTGCAAACCCGACCCTTCACCCTGCGTAAACGCCTCGTCTGCGTTCATCTCCAACAGGCTCAAAGAGAAGGAACGGGTGCAGATGAGAGATCTCGCTGAGATCAAGTGCAAAGAAAACATTAGACCTCCTAGTACTAATGGCATAGGTCAGAAGAACCAGACAAGCTGCATGCCACTGGCCTCAGCCACTCTTAAAAGAAACAATGGCGCACAGAACGACATATGTGAAGTGATCATCATTGACGACGAAGATAACGACTTCAAAGAGATAGAGAGGAAGCCCAGAATGGCTGCACTTGATTTGAAGTCAGAGCCCCGGTTTGATTACCTACCCCGCGGTAGCTCTCAAACAATGGTTCCTATGCGAATGGAGAATATGACCAATCTCCGCAGCTCCTCTCAAGGCCCTCCTCTTCGGACCACCGACACACGACCAGGTTGCTCTTACCAGACGCTTCCTGGAAGGGCACCTTTACCTCACTCTGAGGCACATTGCAACTCTAAACCAGCACCCCTCACCGGCATGTCTCGTTTTCAGCAGTCCCTGAGGACCCCCTACCGACTAGTGCTACAGAACGAACCGGGCTGCCCTGATCTGCGACACATCATCATTGATGGCAGCAATGTGGCAATGGCGTAAGTCTCCATCAATTTGTGTCATTTTGGAGGACATTTACAATTCTCAATTTTTTCATGTAGGTCAGCGGCGACATAATTGTGACATTTTGTCATTTTAAAGTGAGCAGTGCGTCAAAACAACAGAGTGGTTCACACCACAAGCGCTCAGGGTTGTTTACAGTAATGATCTTTCGACACTACATTCTCTAATATTTTTACCTAGAGCCAAATGCGCTTCATTCAACCCCTTTCCGCTCTGTGCGTGTTGCATGTCTTATCCGTTAAAGTGCCACATTAAGAGCTGCAATGACAGTTATTTTAGCAACAGTAGCAGAAACACATTGAGCAGCAAAATAGATACTTTTATTTATATACTTCTAGCAGAAAAAAGAATGCTGCAAATACAATTATTTGTAACTGTCATACAGATGACTAACTTGTCACAAACCTGTTTTAGTTAAACAGTTGATGCGTGGCGCCTTTGTTTAGTTTTTTAATGCATTTAGCATTATTTATCAGCATATTAATGCAGTTAATAATAAATAATGTTTTAATTTATACAATTATATAGAGATGGCAAGGTTAGACAAAAAAAACTTTGAAATTACTAGTTAACTTTGTTTTGTGCGCATGAGTTTTGATTATTAGATTATGTACGTGGTTTGTTTTGAGTAGTTTATTTGTGCAAAATATAAAAATGGTCCTTTTCTTATCATCACACTTTGTCAGTTCCAATTGTAATGGCAGCTTTGTCAATGGTTAGGAAACCATTTCTTTTCGGTTCTTTTGGTAATTTTGAGGGAAAATTGTGTAAAAACAAAACAAAAAAGGAGTTAGGGTTAGAAAATTGGTTGACAGCTAGTTGCTTAATGCAAAAACTATATTACTGCTCAGTGCACACTCTTAAGCACATTTATTACGAACGTTTCAGCACAACAAGTAGCCTTTGTCAAGGTATAGCTAGTTATACCTCCAAAAATGACCAAAAAGCACCATAATTATACCCTAAGCAATTTATGTACTATAGTCCATGTCTTCTGAAAGCACACACGTTTTATGTGAGGGAAAGACTGAAATTTTAGTCATTATAAACTACTTTGTACAGTGCTCTACTGCTCTTGTATGGCTTGAAGACTTGGAATATAGCATTGTATGGGCTACTTTTATGGTGCTTTTTGTCCTTGACGGATCACGGTCACTGTTCCTTTCCAAACAATGAAAGGAACAGTTTGAACATTCTTTAAAATGTCTACTGTTGTGTTCATTGGCAGAAAGAACATCATGAGAGTGAGTAGGCTAAATGACAGATTTTTAGGTGACCTAAACTTACTAAATACTTACTAAAACTAAATGATGCATTCAGTATTTCGAGTTCAGCATTTAATTAATGCTTACTTTATGAAACCTTTGTAAAGGACAGATGTGATTGATGCTTTTTTTGGAGACTATTTGAGGGAGTGTGAAAATGTTGAGTACCCATAAAGGTTAAAGTAAGTCACTTCCAGTAAGGTCTCTGAGTGTTTTTGAACTGTAGTCTGTTTTAATGTTTGTTTGAAAACCTAAAACCAGGTGCAACCCCCTTCTTTTCTTTCTGTCGTTCTCACCCACACCCTCTTCCTCCTTCCCACCTAAAAGGCAACCTCTCTGTGGGTCTCTCCCATTGTCAGCCCCTTATTTTTGCCCTTTAAGTGGCTTACCGGAGGTGACTGCGCTTCTTAGAAATACTAGTGTGGAAACTGAGGTGTTATACAGGGGTGAAGAGAGGGAAAATATCTTTTTAGACCCTACTGGTGATAGAAATCGTGGGATAAGGTGTTGTTAGGTGGGAGTTTTTATAATGTAAGACCTTTACTTCAACAAAATATGTGGGCATATACTAGAAAGCTTTGAAACTTGCAGTATTCTTGAGTTTTTAAGAAATGTTCCCACTCAAATAATAGCAAGAAACAAAAGGTGTATGTGTAACTAATTATGCCATATTATCCATGCAGAGCACAGAACAGTCACACGATCACATGTTCAGCCAGTCTTGAAGACAACAGCTCACACGGTTTCTCATGGCTGATTTGTATGCTTGCGTGATATTTGAGATATGAATCCTCAGGTGAAATCTTGTTGCCATAGCAGCCCAAATACGCAGTTACCAAGAACCGCTGCCACAGCAGGCCAGGAAGGATCTCAATATCTTGCAGTTGAAGATAAGCTGTCATTGTGAAGGAGAGGTCAAAGGTCATGGGTTGAAACTGGTGCAACGTATATACAGTTCCTTATCCTGCTGTAATGATGTTGATGTGGTTTGGCACAAATCTAGGATGTTGTTATAGTTTCATTTCTCATATCTCTGTTTTCTCTGGTGGTATGGTTGTTTTGGAAGGAAATGTTCCTCACACCTATCTAGACTAGGGATGTGCGAGACTATTCGACTAGCCAATTAAACGATACTGCTGCTGCTAGCTGACTTGGAAATACTGATTATTTACTTTTTTCTTTTGCACATTTAATGTTTTGCTTTATATTTTTACAAAGGCTGCGTTCAAATTAGTCATGTTAATGTTAGATTTTAAAATTAACATATTATTTTGAAAAGCGTAGCTATATCTGGACAGGAAAACAAAATAATTTAATCTAACCTCAGATTTTGCACGCGTTGGTTTTCACATGTGCCGGGTTCAGAGAAATGTCCACTTGAAGATGAGCAAGGTGAGGGAGTGTTTTGAAAGCCTACACAAAACTTTTCCGTTTTCTTCTGTCATGTCAAACTACTATAGCATAGGCTTGTTAAACTACCGGTTATGAGGGACAATACTGTACGGATTAAAGGAGAAATTTTGCGATTTTGCCTCCCGTCATGTCTTCAGATACTTTTCATACACAAGAAGCGTGTTCAAACCCGGATACACAAGTGGTTGCCGTGGTAACGGACAGCAAAACCTTAACTTGCTGACTTGTATGAACTAACTTTTATTTGAGGAAATCTGTTTATAATAGGCTATTGGGTTTGAACTTATTGGGCTCCCCTTCTTTTGGTACATTCCATGGTCTATGCCAGTGTAGTAGACACGGTGTCAGTCTGTACTGACACAATCTAGAGTCATTTCGGACGAGGGACCACCTTTACGGGTCTCTTACTATACCTGTCCTTTCAGTTTAAGATAATCAGGTCAGAGTCTACAGTCACTGGATAAGATCTTCATAAGGATGAGTTAGAGGTGAACCACATGGGTTTTTTTATTTGGTGTTTTTTGTCAGAAATACAAGGGAGAAATGAAAGGTATTTTTGCATATTTAGCAACATTTCCAGACTGGGAAAGTTATCTGACTCTACGTCAACGATCGTTGATTTAGTAACACTTCCTGTTTAAAATAACTTTCTCTCGTAGAGGGAACTTCCCCGTGACCCCTCTGTGGTTCATATGTGTGTCTTTGTGTGGATGGGTGGGTGTGTGTGTACATGGCTGCACATCTGTATACGTGTGTCATTCTCTCGGAGCGTACTGAATAGATGGAGATGTGCGTCTATTTTTGCACCCTTTTGCGTCAGTTGCATCTAATCGAGACTTGCCGAGATAAAAGGAAGTAAATGGTTGACCACTGTTCTCAAATGTTTTTACATACGTACTTATCTCTCTATCAGTGGTAGATGCATTGTGAAATTAAATGCAGAGCTGTTTCCTGATCAAGCAAATTGATATTCAAGAGGGAACTTTGGTCTTTTTTTATTTAATAATCAGCCTTCTAGGTGAATTTAGCATGTTTGAATGTGATTGTAGACTTCTTGCTGCATTTTGGAATATATTGTATATACTGCATACTATTTTAATAAAATAAAATTCAGTTTCTTTGCAGAATGCAATGATAAATGTTTCAAACATCAGTTAGCCTACATTTTCAAATTACCTCACTATATTGTGTTTAATTTAGCAACTGTCATCCATTTATCATCTTAGTAATGTAGCATTTTAATAACAATTCTGTCAAATATGAGTCTAGAATGAGATTAAAAAACAAGTTGTGGTTGATATTTATGGCTGCACACCCATAAGTGAAGAGTAAAGTGGAAAGTGTTGCACTGTGGGCTACATTTTGGCATAAGCAGTAGGCCATCTAAATACACTATGAACATAGAACATTTTCACACATTGCACAACATACGTGTAGATACTGCTAAAATATGATATTCCAAACTGATCATGACCGTTGACCTCCCTATTTGCTTTCACCAGGCATGGACTCCATCGGATCTTTTCTTGTCGTGGGATTGCCATCGCTGTAGAGGCCTTTTGGCGCAGAGGGCACAGAGAAATCACTGTCTTTGTTCCTCAGTGGAGACAGAAGAAAGACCCCAACATCACTGGTAGGAGCTCAGCTTTCTCCTGTCATTAGACCAGCAAAACATCTGTTTTATTTATTTACATATCTCCAGTTAAAAATAGGATGCCTTGTCCTTATTATTACAGAACAAAACTTTCTGATCCAGCTGGAGAACCTGCGTCTCCTTTCTTTTACCCCGTCTAGAGAAGTGTGTGGACAGAGAATTTCCTCCCATGATGACAGGTAAACTGTTAAAGGAGTCATCTAGGCTCCTTATCAGACAAAATAGTATTTAGCTTGTGAATTAGATACATTTGCATATAGATTTTCAATGATGTTTCAGGAAATCGCAGAAATGTATGTGGATGGTGATGGGACATAAAAAATTATAAACTGTCTTATGCACACATCAGAAATGTAAAAATATATGCACTACATTTTGTCTCTCGTATGCCACAAATATATACAGACAGATATTTACTGTGCATATCATCTATTTGCCTATTTTTTTAGCACTGTTAAATGCAATCAATGTTTCTAGATGCCAATATCAGTATGGGAAAAATATGAAGTTGAGGTCATGAATAATAAAAACTGGTGCTGTATGCTCCATTTATGGTTATTTCAGGAGCAAGTGGATAGGAGTGGAAAATCAAAAACTTTGTGCATACCCATACTTTGTACACAATTTATATAGGCCCCAGGTTCTTTCTCTGAGCCCTGCTTGATCTATGACTGTCTTCACAGGTTCCTGCTTCATCTGGCTGAGAAGACAGGAGGGGTCATCGTCACCAATGACAACCTGAGGGACTTTGTGAGCCAGTCAGATGCGTGGAGAAGGATTATTCAGGAGAGGTAAGAACAACATCTTTCAGTGCTTCACTCAATTCCTAATGTTAGTTACATACTCTACCATTCAAAATTTTGGAGTCAGCAATATTTTTGTTATAAAGAAATAATACTTTTATTCAGTAAGAACATACTAAATTGATCTAAACTTTCAGTGAAGACTTAAAATGTTACAAAAAGTTCAGGGGTTTTTTTCTCAAATAAATACTGTTCCATCAAAGAATCCTAAAAAATATATATATCACAGTCTCCATAAAAATATATCTGTTTTCAACATTGTTTATAACAAGAAATGTTCTATGATTTCTGGAGGATCATGTGACACTGACTGAAGACTGGAGTAATGATGCTGAAAATGCAGCTTTGCATCACAGAAATAAATTACATTTTAAAATATAATAAATAGAAAACAGTTATCTTAAATTGTAATAACATTTCACAGTAAACTTAATGTTTTTACTGTATTTTTGATAAATGCATCCTTGGTCAGCATAAGATACTTATGCGTTCTTAGCATTCAAAAACATTTTTTAAAAAATCTCCCCAACCCTAAACTTTTGAACGGTAGTGTACATGGATGCACCTTTAGTGTGCTCCGTTTCGGTTTGCCTAGATTTACAGCTCTTTTTATGGATTTTTCAGACTCTTGCAGTTCACCTTCGTAGAAGATCACTTTATGATCCCAGATGACCCACTCGGAAAGCATGGACCTCACCTAGACGAGTTTCTACTTAAAAACAGTCGGTGAGTTTAAAAACACTCCAGTGGTTATCACACATTTGCTGTCTTGTCTGTAACTCCTCATAATGTTTCTGTCCTCTCACAGAGGTAGTCCCATAATGCCCCCCCTGAGGACAGACCCTCGGGCAAGCCCGTCAGTTTACGGCCCGTCTGCACAGACCACAGCACATCCCTCTTCCCCTTCCCACTGGCCTCACTCCGGCCCTCCAGACTGGCACCTTCCTCGACCGTCCCCTTCTCCACCCCCGCAGCGGTCGCCCTCAGAAACCACAGAGCTCAAAAGGAAGCTGTACGACATCTTTCCTGACCAGAAGCAGCGTATTGACCGCATCCTCAGTGACAACCCATACATGAGGGACCTGAATGCGCTGTCTGGCCTCTTGTTGGGCTGACGCACACTTTAACACAAATTTACAGTTTTCACTTAATTATTTTTAAGGAATACCATGATGGAATTGCGCTGCTACAAGCTTCTTTTTTTTCAAGGTTTGTTCAAGGGACTCTGTTCTGTCAACTAATTTAGATGAAGATACGACTGCAAGCACAATAAACCTAAGTTATAAATTGTTTAAACGCGAGCTTTAAATATACGAGTGTGGATAGTCCGAATGGCATAAATTTGATGTAAATATTCACAAAGTATAATCTTCCTTTCCTGTAATTATCTATTCAGAAATTTCTAATCTAAAAGGTGTTCCAGCTACACAGTTGTTTTGAACTGGTTTTGGTCAAATTACTGCTCAAGGACAAACGTTGATTTGCTGTTTTTGATATGGTTGTGCTTTCTGTTACTTCTGTTCTGTAAATATTGACATTATTGAGCCAAATGAGTACTAGTTTCCAGTCACTCAAAGTGCCCTACTGAAGTGCCCTATCATCTGCTTACAGGATAGAATTGCTCATTTCCTGTTCACTAATTTTAGTTCCTGTTAACTTAGGTGATGGTGACAAAATGGTATGTTGTTTCTAGGAATCCTTGGAGACCCCCTGTATGACCCAGGAGACTGTGAAACGGTTAAATGGCTAAAAATAAGTTTCCAGATTACTCCGTGACCTGACACATCTCTTCCTCTGCCTGTTGTGCAAGTCACTGTCATATAGCAAACATGAAACCAGAGCCATCATCAAAGTAAACCTTTGTCCCAGTTACGAACATCAGAGGGCGCTGTGGGATTACCAGCTTTTACCAACCTCATTATGTAATGGATTACTGAGGGCATGAACAAAATGCAATGCACAGTTGAAAAACATACTTTTCTTTTTGAGCATATCATTGCCACTAAAGTTAAATCATAGTTCAGTATTTTCACCGTTATTGTTAACGCGTTGTTAAGACATCACTGAAATATGTTTAGCGTTGCGTTTTGTGAATTGGTATTCAATTTTGGGAATGTAAATGCATAGACGTTAAAACCGCGGAAGCGTCACAGACTCGGCAGGTACTGTGGGTATCTCACAGTATGGCTGCTGAAACCTTTAGCTTTTTCTGGAAGGCAGAGTTAATAAAGGCCAAATATGTGTTTATCAGGATTTCTATATTCTGTCCTTTTTTCATAATTAAGTATATATATATTTTTTTTTTTTCAAATGGTCATTTGAAACCCTTTTGGATTGCACTGTTTACTCTGCATTATTTTCTACGGTTTTTCTGCATTATATCGTCTATGACGGTAGGGGGCGACATCACAGCTTTAAAGACTGAGCTTCTTTTTTTTTTTTTTTTTTTTTTTTAAGAATTACAATATCAGTCAGGGGTACAATGATTAAACTAAATAAACAAACATAAAAAGACAAAGCAGTGACAAACTTAAAAGTTAAACAAAAATGTGAAAATGTTTACATATAGATACGCACTTTGCAGCTTTCTTATTTTTCAAACCCAGTATTGTTTTTAGGTATTGTTGAATTTCTGCTCTTAAAATTAAAAACAAAGGCTTGTTTCCTCCAAATTTACATTTATTAATACTAAATTTAGCCAACAGAAGAAGCAGATTAATTAAGTAGTATTTATGATAAGATTGGTCATAAAGGAAAAAATCAAATAACATATTTTTAAAGCAGAGTTGAAAGCATGATATCAGCCTTAATAACGGAGCAGAAATCTGACCAAAAACAAACTGAATGAGGACAACTCCAAAATAAGTGATAAGATGTTTCATCATGTAGATCACAAAATGTACACAATGTATCAATATCACAATTAAATCTGTTCACAAGATGATTACATGGGTAATATTTATAAATGAGTTTAAGGGAAATTTCTTTGATTTTGTTTGTGACTAAATATTTATGAGGACGTTTCCAGATTGTATTCCATATATCAGATTATCAGCACAACCATTCCAAAATGATATAACAGCAGGTTTGGAGACAATATCCCTTTGAAACAAAGCCCGTACACAACGATTATTATTTTTAATATAGGAAAGGAAAGAGAAAAACAGATACGTCCAACTTATCAGCAGGATCCAATGAAGCATAGTCAGTCGTTGTGAAGCATTATGAGCAGTGACGTTACGCTATCGGATTACTTTGCCTGCATACGAGTAAAAATCAGTAGCCTATATTATCTTGAACCAACATCATTAAATATACTCAAAATAATCCCCCCCATCCTCAATTCCAATTTCATTTGAAGTACAAACACGGTTACTTTCAAAACAATGACAGCAGCAAATCAGGAAACTCGTTTTTGGCAGCGTTACAATAGGGGTGTCCCTGTCCTTCCTTCGTGAACCTACATGCGTCTCGGGTTCTTTAAGGTTGCACAAGATGAGCGAACTGAAACCTACCTCATTATGCAAATCCTGCACGCCTTTAAGTGAATTTGACTGGTCAATTCCAGACTAGTACAATGCTTAGGAAAGAATGTTTCTCTTTGAAAAAGACAGTGGAAAAAGTCTTGACTTTTGTTAAAGCATAATGGGAAATATTTAGGAGGGTCTGCATATGGCATGAGCTCTCAATGTTTAAGATTAGTGAGTGTTTTTAACTGGTAATATGTTCCCATTGTTCACTTGCTCTTTTGCATCTTTTTGGAAGGTTCTTAATTTCAGCATTATTTTGTCATCAGTTTTAAGCATACAAAAATTAGCCACTGTTTAGTCATGAGTGAAAAAGTGTTTTGAAGAAAATGGGGGCTCGATTGGGGAAGCCTCAACAGCAATTTCCAGACCTAAACCGTTCTTTTTATACCATCTGTTCCCACTCTGTCCCTTTTTCTGCTGAACAGCGAGGGGAAAAAAACCTTCTTTGTCCAGTCATGGGCCGGCGGTTTAAATACCATCAACATTCCAGAAAAGCTCGGCATTCTCAGGAACACAGAATTTCTCCTCCCCGATGTTGCTTGCTTCCCTAAACCTACTAAAATCCCCACCGTCTCCATTAATCTCCATCCCTCTCTTTCTCTCTCTTTAGTTGGAGAGCGTGCTTGCATAACTTATCAAAGTAATCCCTAGCCCTCCCCCACTGTCCTGAACCCACTGGTTTAAGCTAAACCAGCAATGATGGGAGCAGCATCTGCTGGGATTACCAGTCAGGATGTCATATAGCCCTTTAATCTTTAACCATAAACATGCCAAAGATGCCAGATCTTTATTGCAAATAAAGGAAGCAAGATTGACTGAACAGAAGATCAGAAGAGATCAGCTAGTCATTCATAAGTTGCACAAGTATGCATGGAAACATTTGGTTCTGATAGACTTCATTGAAAAGAGGCATTGTTAACACAGATTATCATTAGTAGGAAGGCTGAAGCGAGTTGAGGAATGTGGATAATATTAGTTCCAGGAAAAAAACAGCATAGTTTAGATAGTTTGTGGTCATGGACTGTATCCAAAATTTGCGAACAGAAACTGTGCAAGAATAACAATTAATGTTTTTTAGTTTTTATTATTTAAAAAAAAAAGTAACATTTTTCAATTTTTACATTTTTACGATTTTTTGCTTGAGATTAGTCATGATTGTTTTATTCTATTGTTTGGCCTTAAATGTGCAAATTTGTGTGTTTTTTAGTTTATTTTTTTCCTAGCTGTAACATTTAAAACAATATGACAAAAAAGTCTGCTTTAAGTAAATTTCCATCAAATTGAATTGAATAGTTTTTAAAATAATATTCATATTTTGGATTAAGAGATGTAGGCCTGGTTTCACAGACAAGGTTTAGATTAAGTCAGGATTAGGCCTTTTAGTTCAATTAAGACATTTAAGTAGCTTTTGTAAATGTACCTTAGAAAAAAACAGCACTGGTGTGCATCTTGAGACAAAACAATGGCACTGACATATTTTAAGATATGCCAGTTAAAACTGCTCAAACAAGCCTTGTCTTTGAAACTGGGGGTTAAAGTTTATATATGACAATATATAAATGTCAGTAATGGATCTTTATACATGAAAATATCTGCTTTTATATTTTAGAAAGAGGGATGCTTGCCTGAATATCATCATATATGGGGATACAGTACGTCACACAACAATAAATGCAATGACTTTTATACAATGTGAAGAAGGAGTGGCTTCATTCAGGAGTTTGCTGACCAGGCAGTTTCAAGCAGTGATACAGTGAGAGCAGGAGTACTCTGGGATTTGAACATACTGGGCTGCACTAAGGGAGAGAGAAAAATAGACTGTGACTACACACTGGTTGCTCCCGTGGCTGAGGGAGGGGACACTCCTATTCCTCCATCTGCTGCAGAGCTGTAAACAATGATGTCATTTCCTCTCAGTGGCTGAGTTGGCGATTTTGGAAACTTAAAAGAGCACAGGGCTAATTTAGAGTGAGAGTGCTACTGTCCCATTTTAGAGTGCATTATTTATGTTGCAGCATGTTCAAATATGCTTGTGATGTATCTCTAACAAATTACTCATAATTAGTCATTATTGATATACAACTACAGGTGTGGGTTCATCTTTATCGACACATTTCCATAGGTGTGTCTAGTCTACATAGACAATGATGGCACGTTTGTAATAAAGTTTGGCTCTACTGACGACAGGCGGGTTTTTTTCCATTCCCAGTACATTACTCTCACCTACTTTCAACACCTGTTTTACACAATTCAGGTAAATACAGTGGTTGTATCACTGATGACTGCTAATGTGTTTCTGCCTGACAGAGCATGAATAAATATTGTTGTTTTCCTACCATCTGTAACTATGGAATAAAAATATGGAACAAACTGCATGCAAGTTAAAATTGAATTATTACATGTACATATTGGATATTGAATAAACATGTTTATTTAAAATAAATATGATTATATTATATTAATAATATGGGGTGAATTCAGATAAATTGTGCTAGTATTTTGCTTTTAACATTAATGTTACTGTAGCGGTCCAATTTATATAATATATAAATTACAAAAAATCCAGTAAAAGTTGTACTGTAGTTTTATTAAAGAAATTCGCTTTACAGTAATATTATTTCTTTAGTGTACAGTGTATAGAAGGTGGGCAGACTGGGCACATGTCTCTTGAGATAAACAGCAGCTGTTAATTGCACTAAACTACTGTCTGTTCATGAGAAGTGACATGTAGAACATATTATTGTGATAATCAGTAATACGATACCGTGAAGTATTGACTTGCACCCAATGGCAGGTAAAGTTATATCTCTGTTCATTCTAGACGGGGAACTCTCAGGAGTCCTCCATCAATAAATAATTTAAGAACCTTTAAGAGGACAGACAGTAAAAAATAGACAGGCATGGGAAAAGGAACTATTTGCTTAATTACAGCACGTGACGTCACAGACTATGACACACCTTAATAACACAAGTGCTCAAGTGAGAGTATTGTTACAATTATGAAGGCTAATAAATCATATAGGCTACAGTTTCAGCATCCTTTGAATAGGGTCTTTTTAAATAAACAATTTTCAGAACTGACATGAACGATTCAGAACTGACATGAACCTGGTTAAATAAAGGTGAAATAAAATAAAATAAATAAATAAAAATCGTTCAAGAACTGCACTAAGTCAGTAAAAGAGCGAACCGGTCGTATCAGATGTCAGTAAATCTTTTTAAATGTAATTTCGCCATTTTGAACTGAAAATATGCTGTCATTTAAATTATGATGTCATTCATACCTGAATGTGACGTGGCAAGAAACGTTTTATTTTTTTATTTTTGACATATTAGACACAAACAAGAGTGAATGTGTCATGTGTCTAATTTCGACATTTTGAATTGAAAACAGACCTAATGTTGGCTAAGTAATTAATGTAATGTAGCATATAGTAAAAATGTGAGGAAGCAAGAAACATTAAAGGCGTTTGCATAGTAGGCTAATGCATATAAGATTAATAATGAATGTGTTCATATTGTAAATTAACTTAGCCTAAACTTAGTAGCTTTCCAGGTATAGCCTTCAGTAAATTCACTTTTCTAAGAAAATGATTCATAAAACATAAATAGCCTATCAGTTGACGATATGATTACTTTACTGACAAAATGAAAAGACTGTATCAGTCAAAGCTCCGCTTTCGGAGGGGATCGAGACAGCTCAAATTTGGGACCTCGGTGATTATAAAACCCTGCGACCCTGCTCGCAACGATCAGAACCGAGAATCGTCTCTTTCGAACCAATCCGAATCGTAGGTACGACTGATGGGGTTAACTTTACATAAATATATTACATTATAAAACGTGCTGAAGATATGTTTATAACTTTATTGGTGATCGTTTTTTTATATTAACATAGGCCTACGAAAAAGGGTTGGTTTTAATATTGAATCAAACCATCCAGGCTTTTTATCCGAGAGATGCACATGAAATGCATTTTGCAATTTAAAGCAAATGATGTGACGTTAATTTGCTGAATCATGGTCGCAACAACAGAACATTAAATAACACACATTAATATACATTAATACAACTTAAGTAAAAAAATATACGGTATGAATGCATGTGGTTTTCTTCGAACATTTTACACTAAACATGGGATGTCAGGGGCCACGTGTTGATGATGAAACGGTTTTCTGAATCGGTTCTTTGATATGAACTGTTCGAAAGAACCGATTCGTAGAAATGTAATGAGACGGACATCCCATCACTTGTCGGTTGAACAGTCAATGGTCTGTATTGTTGACCCAACGTTGTTCTCCTTCCCGCGTTCATGTGGCTGAAGCGCGTGACTTGTAGCGCCGCTCCCGTGAAAAATATATTTCAACAGCTTCAGTCAGTGCGCGACACCGAGACTGCCGGGCGACAGCAGCGTCTCCTTTTTAGCGAATGTGGAAACACAAACATCCAAACGGTTAACGGACGAGGACCAACGTGTAGTGGATTATTTTTTTTAATTGTTCCGTTTGGCAGCAGAGGGGTATTTTTACAGCGGTAAGTGCAGTGTTTAAATCCCTCATTCGAGGATAATGGCTCTGTTGTTGATTTTAGCGAGCTAGCTAGCTTAAAAAGCGGCTAGCCGACCATGCTATCAAACCTTTTACTGTGTGTTCCTCATCAATACACCATTTATTTTACCTATTTTTCTGTTAACACATTAAGATTCCCGGTGTGGCTCGTAGCCAGTCCTAAAATATTTTTTTGATTCTCTTAAACGCTGAGATTTGGTCCATGGAACCATTATTATCCCGGCTTTGCTAGCTCTCTATGCTTGTGCTAAGTGAGACACTGTTAATGTGATGAAATTAAATGTAATCTAACTATTGGAGTTCTTTCCAATGTTAATAATCGGATGCTTGCACGCAGACATACTATTTGTGTTTAATATTTAGTTGTAAGCTTGAGGCCTCATTAACTGACGTTGAATCATACTAGACTATTTCTAAGCGTAAGAGAGATGGCTTGGCTGACAGATACTGTATTATTCTCTGCAAAAGAATCCTGGCATTAAATACACATGTACACAGAGACCGGGCTAGCTGGGCTAGTATGTGATGTAGGAACCATTTTATCACCGTTATGGTCAATATAACCTGTAATGATGATTTAGAAATCAGTCCTAAAGAAAACATGCATAAAGCTAGCCGTCAATCGACACTTGGTGTTGAGTCTCCACATGACTCTCTCAAACCCAAGATGTTACAGTAAAATCATCAGATGTGCGTGTGTATGTGATTGCTTTGAGACCTAAAGAAGCTTAATGTCCACGAATGCCCGTGTCTCTGCTACACACGGGATTTATTTTAAGCTTCCGCGCTCACAGACGCCTTGAACTTGGCATCTTGATCACCACACCGTTTTGTTTACAAAGCGACTGCGATTTGCCAGGGAGATGTTTTGCTTACATCTTTGTTGCGACTGAATTGAGCTGTACTGTTTTCGTTGTTCTTTATCCTTAAATATCCATTTAAGCACCTCCCCTATCGATTACAGTAATTGAGGTTAAGTTGCAGTTGGTTGAAGCAATAGCTAGATAGGAGAGGGTCAAATCCCTTCGGTAACTAACCTTATTCTACTATCTTTAGAAAGGTAAGGCTGTTATAAACACTGGAGTGTTGCCACAGACTGGATATTTTGCAGCATAGAATGTATTTTAAGAGAACCTTCAGGCTACTTGTTTAAAGTGCTGTAAATAAACCACCCTTCTGTGATATCTCATTTGCTGAATGACATCTCTATTGGATTGATGAAGGATTGATTGTCCAGGGTAAATAATAGATATCAACTTAGCTCACAATGCTTTTGAGAAATGCAGAAGGCATAAGGTTAATAATGTATAGACCCTTCTGCCTTGAATTTGGGACGCATCGATTTGTCTCCGTGTGTCCAGATGCTTGGAAATGCAATCCTTCTCTTTCATTCTCTTTACACACCTCAGCAGTGAAATAGAGATCATGTTATGGAGTGTTCATCACAAAGTTATTGATTATTTCTGTAGAGATTTTTGCACTTTTGTGAGATCTTCAGAAGGCAATGTAAGTTGTTTTTCTGTCTAAATGGTCACGGTTTTTGTTTATTTGGGCTATTTCTAATGCCTACATTTAAATTATTATGTGTTGACTTGCAAGACATTTGTTTCTGTTAAATTGCATTTTTGGGTATTATTCTTTAGTGTTATTTAATGACTGGAGTTATTTTGTTGTGACTCTTGTGTTTTCAAACTGTCTTTGTGGGACAGCTGCACGATCACTTGGACATTTGAAATGACATTTGTCTTATAGAGGTAGACTCCACAGCTTCAGGCCAGGGTAATGGTGAGGTAATCTGACCCTCTTTAGAATAGCTGAAATGGGAGTATAGAGCTGGGATCGACCATTTCACACTCTCTATCCCATTGCATCGCTCTTCCACCTCTTATACTTGCTATACCCCTCGATTCTTGGTGTTCGGAGGTTTAAGCAGCACCCATGGAAATGGCCGAACACCCACAGAAAAACACGAGAGTTGGAAAGAAATAAAGATTTGCCATTTATCGTGATAATTATCAATATGGACTGAAATGAAAAATTTTATCGTGAGTTCTTTTTTGGCCATATCGCCCAAAAAAGGGCAAATCTTTATTTATTTCCAATTTAAAAGCACTTTTTTGCTCCTAAGTGAAAGTTGTAGAAACCAGACTGTTTTTTTGTGGTTTTAAACTACTCTTTATTGTCAGAACTAGAGGTGTGCACAATGACTAATTAATGTTTAAACAGAAATTCAGCAACCGACTAGTCTAACCCACCACCCGGAGACAGTCTGTATATAATGCAATCCATTTGAAATAGACTAGGCTACTTAATCTATAAAGTCAAATCCCATATTGAATGCTGCTAAAATAGGTCAGATACATGTGATGTGCTTGCCTTGCATTATCATTGAAAAAATAAACATTTACTGAAAGCATTCGTATTATAGACATATTTAATAAAATTGAATCAATAGGCACCGCAGGCCCAAAGTTCAAACCTAATAGCCTATTATAAACATATTTCCTCAAATAAAAGTTAATCCACATAAGTCAGCACATTAAGGTATTGTTGTTCTTTCCTTACATTGTGGGTTTGAACCCACTTCTCGTGTATGAAAAGTATCTGAACGCAAGTGCGTGGGGAAACATCAAATTCTCCAAAACTGTTCACCTAGCTTACGATTAAATTTCATTTGAAATCACCAATGAAATCCAACAACAACTGTCTCATAAATTTTGTTTCTAAATGCTCGAATTATGACATAAAACTGCATTTTTTCTGCCTGGACCAAGCTAACGCGCAGTCTTAAGTGCACGTCTCAGAACACTGACTGTTTCTATAGGAACCAGAGCTTCTAACGGCAGCTGCAGTGACGCAATGACTTTACCAATCGGCAATTGACCCTTCGCTAAGCCCCGCCCTCCCTAGTTACTGTTGCTACGCCTGTCAAGCTTTCGTGCCTGGCACGTCTATTACAGCGTGTATGCACCGGTGTCAGACATTCCCAATGAGATAATTAGTAATTTTTGGCGAACATGTGAAATATCTGAGAGAGCAAGACAAAAGGGACTGCAGTATGCATTCGAGGGATATATCCACGACATAATAATATGCAAACGATTAGAGAATAATTTCATAAAAATTGAAGCTAAAGCCTATAGCCCCAGCGCAAGGCCTCATACGCTGACCATTCAAATGGGAAACACACAAATTGAAGAACAGCTATGTTCGTGCACAGCAGGGTAAGTGATGTGAAAATAATCTAATAATTATAAATCAAACAGGAAATAAATCTTGTGGAATAACACCGGGAGAGCCGCAGTCGGATTGGGTTAACGTTACTCAGTCAGGGGTAGTAGGCTGTCGATTAACAAAATGCTGAAATATATTTTAAAGTATGTCAGTGAGCCTCCATCTTGCCTTTAATCGTCTTATTTTACGTTAAAATATATGCATTATGAACAAAGAACCGTCATTATTTCCAACTTCCAAGCAATAGGTGTTTTTGTTAATCCTGTGGACATGTAGTTGTGAATGGGGTCTCACACACTGCTTGATCCACGCCCGGCATTTCTCCCCTCGGCTTTTAGATTTTCGGGAAGGAAAAAAAATCCACTCCCCCGTCCAAACTTTTAGGATACCGGGTATCAGATTTGCACAATCCACCATACGCACAACGGTTCAGCATGTTTCCCTCGTTCGAAAGCTTGCCAGACCTCCTGCGCCTAGTTACGGTTGCTAAGACACGATTGGCCAGTGGCGGTTTTCGGGGGTGGCTTAGCGAAGGGTCAATTGGCTCTTTTGGTTAGAAGGCGGGACTTATTCCGCCATTTTGCACGTTGTACTTTCTCCCATTTATAGTAATACAAGTGCACCGTTTTTCTGTATATAAAGTCTTTGATTATCCCTTATAACCAGTAACAAGCCTTTAACTTCTTAACCCGCATCGGCCCGCGAGCGGGCCGTCGAGGGCGTGGCTATACTTTTATTACCTTTTTTAAGCTTTGTTTTATAACAAATATTCATCTGACTATCATAAACTATGCATCATTTGAAAGCTAAAACACTCAAGAACCATGTTCTAGACTTGTTTTTGCAATCAATACACCAGAGAGGAAAGGGTTAAATAAAATGCTAAAGGACTGCTCATTTGAAAATGAGAAAAATGAACCGCTATACTCATCTTTCATCTCGTATGGTTCAGATCAGTTCGGAAGAATCCAAGAAACAACAGCATACATTTCAATGTAAGGGTCCACTCTTCAAAATGCATCCCACTTTTTAATCCAAAACAACGAAAAATAGGGGAAAAAAATGAAATATCCTCCTTTGTTTTCATGAGCGTTTTCGAGATAGAGTTCGCATCATGTTCATTTTCAAAGAAATATCGATTCTAATCCATATTCCAACACTCAAAAGCCATCTCACCCCCGCAGTTTAGACTCTTCCGGATCGAATGATACATCCTACTTCTCTGTCCTTCAATCACAGGCTCTGTTACAGACCAAAACAGTAAGAGAGTCCCTGACAGGCTGAGCGCGCTGTCCATCGCGCAGCTGGGCTTTCGACTGGATAAAAGCCTGGATAATGCTATCCAATGTCCTTTGAGCTACGTTTTGATTGATGGGAGTATTAGCCAACTAAAATCGATTGCAGTGATAGACAGTTCATGCAAGCACATTCGTCAAATTCAACTGCGCAAAGTTTTCATTCACATGTGCGCTTTCGCCACGCGCGCAGCACGCACACACAGTTAGCCGACCAGAATGTAAACAGACACATAAACGCGATGTTTTGACACATGGAGCTTGCATAAATGCACGGATTTACTCTAAAGCTTATATCTGAGCATCTGTATCATGGATCGTCGACTACAGAAGAGATTTGAAGGTTTTTTTGCAGAAAATGACGAAGAGCAACAGGAAGTAATAGGATATTCATTATAAGTATCAGTTTATTGCAATTTATTTGGGTAAAAACCAC